ATTTTACTTACAATTTACTTCTCTTTAATCTTTAAATAACATTTTTGTAATATATTGAATGTCTGTATGCATATGTATTTTTTTTTTCTGGCAAAACTAAACTGAAAATGAAACTGTTTGAGCTTAGGGAATTATTTGAATGTAACCTGTTTTTCATCATAATAATAGACATGAAAAAAAAGATTCTTAAATCTGAGGATTGGCTGAGAGCAATGCAGTTTTATTAAACACAGAGCAAAAACGAGGAAATATAATGCAAAAACAAGGTAGTAAAATGTAAATAATATATATCATAGAATTGAGTCCAGTGATTGGCTAATAACCAAAAGATATACATAAGAACCACAACTCACAGGAAAATCATCAACAGGTACGAGCGGGCAGTTTCTAGGATGTACTAGAAGTAGATTTTTATTAACACAGGTAAATATACACTTTCACATTATCGTTTTTGCCTTTCCACTGCATTCAGCTCAGTTACGCTCACATATATTGCCCTTCTTGTTTGGCTTTCAAATCTTATGTTCCTTGAAGGGAATGGTTCGTCTTTTCTTTTTAATAAGATTGATCACCCCAGAGTAAGGGAATCCAAGACAGTCTTGGATTCTGGAATCCACGCCACGGATTCCGGATTCCAGGTACTCGATTCCAGCGTTTGTCAGTGGAACTTGGATTCTGGATTCCAAGTGCGATTCCGGATTCTTGAGCTGTATTCTGGATTCAGAAGCCCAGGATTCCGGATTCCACAAGCAAAAATTTATCGGATTCCAGAAACCAGATCCCCCGTTTACATAAGGTGAGGTTGAGGACTGGGCCTTGAATAGCGCACTGCATGAAACTATGGACTTTAGGATACTACGACGGCGACGACAACAAGAACGTCAAAAAAGCAATTGGTTAAATAAGCAAAACAACAACTCTGCACGTGCATCTCACTTTTTTGTACATTTCGTTACCGTCACTGCGCGACTACGACGGGAAAATGCCTAATTTCACGTTTTAGGGAGGACGTAAGCAAGAGACGGCTAAATTTTCTGTCTCTTTCCGAACTTGAATATGATTCTTAGAAATTCGGCTCAAAAAGAGTTCGCTTGCATTTGACAAAGTAAGCGAGTTCGAGTAATCACGATAGAGATTGAAAGAACGCAAATGTGATATCTTGAACCCCCTATTATTAAATAAAGAAGGATTCGAAACGGTCCTTGGTACAGGATGAAAATAGTGAAAAACGAGACAATATATGGGGAAAGGAAACTTGCCCCTATGGTTCTTTGCTTCATTTTTATCACTATGCGGTAAACAGACATCCAGTCAGTAAAGTAAATACCAACGTATAAGAACCTACTTTTTTTTTGGAAGTCTGGCAGTGAAGTTTCTTTTATTTTGGGGTAGTTATTGGCAGTTTAGGGTAAGTATAGGTTTTCTTAATTAGGTTCTTAATTTTTATGAAAGAGATATAGTTGTTAACTGCCAGAAAAAGAAAGAAACTTGAGTTTGGTCCTTAAATCAGTACAATATTTATTCACAAGTGTAGTTACGCACCTTCTTATGAGCAAGACCGGCATGGAGACAATTACAATCTGTATTTTATATAAACCTGCTTTTTGTAGGAATTAATACAGTTAGCTGTAATAGTTTTATTTGTAAGTTACAGTTTGGTACAGTATTTTCTTGTAATATCAATTTGCAATCTTAAAGTCAAATTCTTTGGTTAAAATGTTTATAACTAGGAGTTATCAGAGCTTAGGAGATTGCGTTCGAGATGTTTGTTAGCTATTTTCATAATTAACAGGCTAGGTGTACAGGTAGCAGTGGGCTAAACCTCTAAGTAAAGTACATGTAACCTCAAACACTGACTACGATCCTCAGGAAATTCTCTTACACTGTAGGATGGTCAATAAAATCGGCTAAAAATTGGGAAACAGAAAATTAAAGACATCTGAAAAGTTTGTTGATTGAGCTTTGATAGCTCTCTAGTCGATTCGTATAGTTGGTCAAGCAAGGGCTGCAATTTCCCGACCTACTTGCCCACGGGCTCTGCTGGCGTCTCGGTGGGGTTGCCACATTCTGTAGCTCATTGGCGGTTTTTTCCCCCACCTTTGCTGAAGAGATATTAGTTTATTATATATTGGCAGATCTTGAAAATAAGGTTCGTCACCTTTGGTGGCCAAATTTTTTCCAACCAAATCCGACTCTGTGTTTACCTCCTCAGCAAACAAGTGCGCCGCCACAAAGAGCTCTTGGTCACGCAAAGTTTTCAGCGCCCTTCTTATCGAAAAAATGCCTTGATATAAAATGATTTTTCGTTGTTTTAAATTGCCAAGTAGTAGAGTGAGTTGATTTTTTTTGCTAAACCAAGTTAAAAAATCCAGGTAAAAGTATATATATATTATTCAGTTAGATGTTCACCGGCGAAGCCAAGACAGTGCTCTACTTGCAGTGTAGGGGCGGAATAGACCAGGTTTTGTATTAAACACCCATGCACTCAGGATTTGAGTAGTTCACCTACTGGTCTATATTATATATATATATATATTTAACAATTATTCTTTGAAATCGAGGTGAATAGTGGCCAAATATTTACCGAGCCGAGAAAGCGGCGAGGTAAATATTCCCAAAGCCACTATTCACCGAGATTGAAAAGAGTAATTGTTTTAGTATATACACACTTTAGTATATACAAACTAATCGAACAACAGATAGAGGTGGTATATACAAGTTGCTGTATATTGGGAAAGTATATATACATAGTATATACACACCAGGGGGGGGGGGAAGAGACGAGGTCTGGGACCGAGAAACGATGTTCTCACAACTTGCAAAGCGGTCACCGCGCGTGGTGGTCAGCGGAAAATTGCAGTACTTTTCCCACAGTAAATATTTTTAGACTTTTTAGAAGCAAGAAGCGACCGGCAGAGGAAATCAGAAATGCTTACTGAAAAAATAAAAAAATTGAAAAAAATAATATCATGCATCTTTGTTTTTCTTTCATATCGTATTTGTCTTTCGGTACTGAAATTGCGGGGGAAACCGTGTTAGCTCCGTAACCAACAACAATGCGCTCGATCGATTTATAGGTTACATCGTTTTTGCCGGGTAAGGATAACTTGATGCTGATAAAGATTACTGGAGAAAGTGTCAAATTTATCGGAAGCAAGTAATTCAGAGAGCTTTATAAATATGAGCTTACAGCTCTACAATCATAACTGAATAAACATTCACACTTCATAACATTTCATTTCGTTTATTACGATCAGTCAACACCTTGAATCCAAAGTTAAAATTCAAAACGATCCTAATAAACAAATCACAACTACTACTGAAAGCTCTGTACCTTGAAGCGACTTTAACTTTCCTAAGGTTTGCAGCAAAACACTGCTTGATAGCTCAACTCTAGCTCTTCGGCGGTTCTTATCAGCTGTACGGATCGAGCTATATGTTGCATATTCCAAACTCTGCAGAGGGAAATTGTTTAACAGAAAAAGAAAACCACACACTATGTCTGAAAAGCGACAT